CATAAGGGCAAGGACCAGAGAGAGTTCGATGCCCGGTAGTAAAAAACACACACACACACACACACACACACACACACACACGAAGATTTTGCTCCTCTAAGGACATCTTCAGCTGGTGAAATCTTATCCTGCAGCATCACAGAATCTGGAACCACTGAGTTCCTAGCTGTGACCAGGGGCCAAAATGGAGTTATGTCTCGAAATGCCATAGCTGGCCTGTGGGCAGCACAACGAGGCTTACCCAAACGATTTTTCCCTAAAATTATGTAGAATTTCTCCCGACAAAGACCCTGTCTCAAAAAAAGAGATCATCTCAGGTCTTTTCTGAAGCTGTGCCTCCCTTCTGGGCATGCACAGGAACTTCATTTCCCACATACACTTGGTGGCATTTTGTCAGGGCTGATAGCCCGACCAGTTACTGGGGGCTACCCAGGTGTCTCATGAGGGACGGCAGGGGATGAAGAATATGAAGTAAAGAACAAGGACTAGAGAATAACGCATGATAGTTTATTACTTGTGGAGCTGGGAGTTGAGCTTTAGCTCTGTCCTGGCTAAAGACCACCTGAGCTTAGTTCTGTCATGGCTGAAACAACCAGCTCTGGATTAGTTGGGATTTATGATTATACAACACAACAAGGGGGCATGAAGGCAGATGGAGGTGGGAAAAGGGGAGTAACTGTGTATTCTTCTGAAGGATGGGGCACTGTTAACACTGTTAACAACACTGTTAACCTGTGCTGTCTTGCAGATCGTAGCTAATGTTGGAGAATGGCTGCACAGAGGCATAATTCCTCAGCTACAACGTTTCCTTGCTATTAGAGATGTCACAACCTCATCAATCACAGAGACCTCAAATGTGATGCTGGCATAGGGAAGTCTATCTCTGAATACCAGCCAAAAGGCCAATTAGCAATTCACACTTAGGCCTTGGAGTGACTCATAATCTTAATCAATAACCAAATTATAAGCCAAATCAATAATATCTAAAGCCTTCTCAGTGCAGTTTCAGGCCGGTCTCCTGCAGCTTTTGATTGTGCTAGTCTTCAATGTCTGACTCTCAAAGGGCAAAAAGGGAAAAAAATGAAAGGAGGTAGGAGAGAAAAAGCCAGCCCTTCAAATTCTTCACATGTCAGGGAGGCTTTCAACAAAGGGAGAAGGAGGCACAACAGCATGGCCACTGCTTCGTCACACCTCTATAACTGGAAGCAGCAGGCAGCTCAGAGCACAGGTTCCTGGACATTTGGAAGCCAGGACCCTTTTCGCCTGGGTTCTGCGAGCTACCTACAAGCAGCTCCAGGAACTTGCACAGCTGCCTGCAATGGGCCTGAGGTGTGGGGGGTGGACAGCTGCTACTGAGCTACAGGCTGAAACTGACCAAATTAATTAATTCTTGGATACAAAAAGGGATTAATTTCCCTCACAGTTGCAAGAACTCAACAAACTCCAGAACTGAAAAATTGTTGCATCATACAGACTCTGCCAGTGCAAATGTCTGGTGCTTTCTACTTTCTATAATCCTCTCTGAAAAATAAGTTTTGTAAGGTGCTAGAGATAGAATCCCAGTGAGCTATATCCCCAGCCCCTGAAAAGTGTTCATTTATTTTTTTCCTTTTTAGGGGAGCATTTTGAATCAACTTTATACCTTAAAGAACTAGAAAAAGCACAAATTAGACCCAAAGCCAGCAGAAGGGGAGTAATACCAATGAGTGGAGCAGAGATTAATAAAATAAAGAGCAAATCAGCAAAAGCAAAAGGTAGTTCTTTTAAAATACAATGAATAAGCAAAGGATGGTGGAACACAACTGTAATACCAGAACTTGGGAGGCTGAGGCAAGAGGATCCCCATGAGTTTGAGGCCAGCCTGGGCTACACAGTGAATTAAAGCGCACAGTGAGGGCTGGGGATTTAGCTCAGTTGTGCCACCACCTTCCTTGCAAGTGCAAAGTCCCAAGTTCGATCCCCAGTACCAAAAAAATCAACACACTGCCAACAGAAAGTCCAAGACCACATGGCTTCATTACTGAAGTCTATCAAACATTTAAAGACTTAACATCACTTCCACTCAAAATCTTTCAAAACACAGAACACTTCTTAATAGTCTATGAGGCCAGCATTACTCTCACCTAGCAAAAACATAAGCAACAAAATAAAACATTAGAGAGGCCAGGTATTTAGGTCAGCAGCACCATGTCTGCCTTGCAAGTCCAAGATCCTAAGTTCAATCTTCCAAAATAAATAAATACGTAAATAAAACATCAGATAAAATGGACTTCATAAAAAGTAACCACTTTGTATATCAAAGGACATCAAGAATATGCAAGACAACCAAAAGAAATGGAAAAGTTATTTCCAAACCATATCAGATAAGGACCTAATATTCAGATTGTATAAGAATTCAAAATTTGACAGCAAAAAAGATGTCACCTAGGACAAAAGAAAACAAAACAAAACAAAAAAACCCCAACTCAATTAAAAGCTGATCAAAGGACTTAAAAAGACACTTCTCCAAACAATATATACAAATACCCAACAAGCACATGTAAAGATATTCAACATCACTGGTTCTTAGGAAAAAGCAAATGGCTGTGCATAATGGTTGAAGCCTGTAATCCCAGCACTCAGGAGGCTGTGTGGCAGGTAGAGTGTCACAAGTTCAAGGTCAGCTTGGGCTACATAGTGAGTTCAAGGCCAGCCTAGACTACACAGTGAGAACCTGTCTCAAAAATAAGTAAATAAAGCAAATTAAAACCATAGTAAGATACTACTCACAACTCCAGAATGGCGTTAATAATGTTTTTTTTTTAATTTGAGATGGGGGTCTTATATGTAGTCAGGCTGGCCTTGAACTCACTATGTAGCCCAGATTGTAACGCACAACATTCCTTCTACCTCAGCCTTTCTTTGCTGAGATTACAGGTGTGCACTAGCACACCCAGCTCAATAATTTTTTTTTTTTTTTTTTTTTGGTACCAGGGATCAAACTCACGACATTGTGCTTGTGAGGCAGGTGGTGGAACCACTGAGCTAAATTCCCAGCCCAAAGAATTTTTAATGAAAAACAAAATTTTTTTTTTTTTTTTTTTTTGGTACCAGGGATCAAACTCACGACATTGTGCTTGTGAGGCAGGTGGTGGAACCACTGAGCTAAATTCCCAGCCCAAAGAATTTTTAATGAAAAACAAAATTTTTTTTTTTTTTTTTTAGTACCAGGGATCAAACTCAGGACTTTGCCCTTGCAAGGCAGGTATGGCACCACTGGGCTAAATCTCCAGCCCAAAACAATAACTTTTAAAGGAAAATTATGTGTTGTAATGATGTGGAGAAATAAGGACTCAGTGTTTTACGTAAAATAAAAATGAGTTTATTACCAATAAGCAGTAAATGACCCTTCTCAATACTAAAATTTGAGACTATCCAATTAATACAAAAGATTAAATGTGTTAAGAGTCAAAAACAGTGACAGCATAATACATGAAAGTAAGATGAATAAAGTACTTAAAATTTTGCCATGTTGTATTCTCAATAATTTGTTTTCTACACCAGGCGTGGTGGCACATGCCTGTAATCCCAGCACTCAGGAGGCTGAGGCAGGAGGATCACTGTGAGTTCGAGACCAGCTTGGGCTACATAATGAGTTCCAGGTCAGTCTCAACTATATAGTGAGACCCTGTCTCAAAAAACAAAAACAAAACAAAAAAAAATTGTTTTCTATAAAGTGATTTTTTTTCTTTTTTTGAGACAGAGTCTTACTATGTAGTTCAAGCTGGCTTTGAACTCATTATGTAGCCTAGGCTGGTCTCGAATTCACAGAGATCCTCCTGCCTCAGCCTCCTGAGTGCTGGGATTACAGGTGTGCGCCACCACTTCTGGCTAATTATTTCTATCTTAAATTCTAGTAACCAGAACAAAATTAAGCTTTTTGCTGTGGGAATCTTCACATGAATGACAATTTGTCAAATATCACGATCAAGTTCAGGCCAGGGCACTTACTTTCACACCAAGTTAATCTCTATTTTTACAGTCAAATTTATCTTAACAAGGACCCAATAAAGTTAAAACGAAGGTTAAAATTTTCGATTGAGAAAGGCATAAGAGAACAAATTTCACCGGTAATCACTAAAATATTTAAGATACTTTATTATTCTAACTGTAGGCAAAGAATCTTGAAGATATTGAAGTATTAAGTTCTAACCCATAATTTTAGTTCAACTGAGGAAAGTCCACTTCGAATTAGCAGGGATAAAGGAATTTCACATTTTATGTCTCTTGGGATCTTATTACCAGAATAAAAATTTTGCCCACTTTGCCCCCCAAAAGCACCACCTTTCCCCTATAAACTCATAGAGCCAATACAAGTGTTCTGTTCTAGTTTATTCTCTTATTTAGATGGAGCTTCCTAATGCATTAGAAAACCAATTACCTCCAGGCAGGCCCTAAATGCTGAAGTGTCAACATTTCCACACGTGGTTCCCCCGTGCAGTAGAAGTAATGCTGCTTTCAAGGAGATTTTTCGTCTATTATTAACGGCCTGATACAGGAAGATCTCTTCGCCACTTTTTCTCAAATTAAGCAAAGCCTTAAGAAGTGGGCTAGTGCGGAGGTAAGGAGATGAGGACTTCCTCGCCCAGATTTCCGACACGCAGCAATCAATATTCCTCACTAAGCCCCAGCTCCAAATTCGCCAACTCCCTAGCAGCCCTCACACACCCAACACGACCCTTTCTCCTCCCCAATTCCAGACTTCACCGCGCACACTTGCACCCCAGCCTATCCGCGCTCACCTGGGCCTCTCTCCCTCCTTCCACTGGCCCTGCTCAGACTTCACGCTGCCTGCAAGCTTTTCCCACTTCTTCCACGACATCCACTACTCAATCGGTAAAAAAGTCCCTTTTGCCCAACTACAGAAAGGCTTTAAAACCCTATCCACCTCTCCCCCAGCCGTTCGTATTCTCGACCCTGCCTTTGTCACCCTGAGGTGGGGTTGGGGAAATCTCACTCACCTCATGCTATAGGCACCGGCACCCAGCTCCTGGCCGATCCCGGACAGGCTGGCATCAAAGTCCTGAACCAGCCCGGATTCGATCACTTCATCGGCCAGAGGCAGCTTCAGAGCCCAAGCCATCCTGGCTCGTTCCTTGCTCCAGGAGACACCGTTCCAGGTACAAAGGCGCGGAGCGTAATTCTATCCCACAGGGGTAAGAGTGTCCAAAACTCCAAACCAAGCCCACACAGTCGCCACCAGCCACCCACAAGCGCGACCTGCACTGGCCGCACAACGAATAATCGCCCGTGTCCCGGGCTCCTCTCGTAGCTGCTATGGCTTCCAAAGCCCCCGCTCCCCTGCCCTCTGGAGCGTGAGGGCCCCTAAGCTCAACTCTTCCAGACTTCCCAGAGGCAGCTGGGCTCCCGCACTCCCCCTCCTCGGGCTCCGTCCCCGTCGCTCCCGGCAGCAGATCGCAGCCTCCAGACCGACCCACGGGGGCGAAAGCACCCGCCCCGCGCGCCCAGCCCAGCCCGCACCTTCCCCCGCCCCTTCCGAGAGAAGCCCCCTCCCTCTGGGGACCCGCTCTAGTCCCTCCAGGCCCCGCTTCCGGTCAGTTCTACGATCACTTCCGGTCACCCCTTTTAAACCCCACGGCTCTTAGGATCAAATCCAGGCTTCTGCTGGGCCCACTCGCCGTCCTGTGCAGCACCCCCACGACCTGGAAACGTGAAAGGAGAAAGTCCAGCCCAGGCTGGAAACCCGGACTGGCCATGCCCCTCCACCTCCCCCAGCGCCGACCAATCATGGCGCCCTCCTCCTTCGCCGCCCGGAGAACAGGACTTCGCCCTGTCCCTCTCCAATGAAGAGGAGACTTCGTCGGCGTCTGCAGCGATGATAGGCTAGCTGCGCTACGGCTCCCCGCCTCCTAGGTGGGCTGGGCGGTCTCGGAAAGGATCGGGCGTGCGTCTAGTGTCTGAGTTTAAAGTGTGTAGGTGCGGCAGAATCCTGGTTTGCGTTGCGTTCCAAGTCGGTGCCCTAAAGCTTGGAGCGGAGCCCTCCCTCTACCCTTACCGAACCTGCTCTTATCTCTGGACCGGACTTTGTTTCCCAAGTATTCGCATATGCACACGTTTGCTCCTGTGCATCTTGTCTCTGTAAACTCACCTGTTGGGAAAGCAAGACCTTGCTTAAAACCCACTTCCCTTGATAATGTCGTCTTTTTAATGGTCATTTACTCGGAAAACAGTTTTAAAACTACGTAAGATTAAACTTATTTTTGCATAAGAAATACACTGTAAGTCACCATAGGTCCAAGAAACTTCAAAATGCAGATTTTGCACGCCTGTAATCTCAGCACTCCGGAGACTGAGGCAAGAAGATCCTTGTGAGTTCGAGAACAGCCTGGGCTACATAGTGAGTTCCAGGTCAGTCTCAACTACATAGTGAGACCCTGTCTCAAAAAAAAAAAAAAAAAAAGTAGATTTTGAAATGTTTAGGGCTGGCCGCGTGCCTCATGATAAAACAGCTGCCGAGCATGCGCAAGGCCTGAGGTGGAGAGGATTTTTCAAAGATGTAGTGTCACCTGTCTGGAAGAGATAACTGCCATATTTAGGACTACCATGGAGTTTTGTCCTCTGGAAAGTATTTAGAAAATGATTAACATGTATTTCTTAGAAATGTATGAGTCTAAGTCTAAATTTTGAACCAAAATACAAAAATTTCACAGAGGTCTTTCTTACTATTTGTTAATTCTAGAGCTAATTGAGGTGGAATGAAAAGTGACTCCTAAGCCTTGGCCCATCCTAACTGAAATGCAGGTCAGCCTCAGAGATCCAGGCCTTTGAGCCCAGGTCCCCCTTAGGAAAGAATTTAACAGATTTTCCCCTTAGAGTTGTAACTGCAAGGATAACTTTCCCTTTCCTTTCTTCTCCTTTCCCCACTGTAACTAGGAGGGACACTGGAGAACCAGGATTGGAAACAAGGGTCCAGGGCAGCAACATTCTAGAAATCCAGCAACATCTGTCAAGATACTAAATTTTCATACCCATAAATTCATCCCCAAACAAAAATCATGGCTCCTATTAAATATAATAAGTAAAACAAATTAACTAGCGCACCTGTGTTACAGAGCTCCAAGTGAAGTCTTTTGGCCCACTGAACAAATTTAAGACTCAAAGGGTTTATTTTCCTAGATTAGGTCCTAACACCAGGCACTGTTTGTTTGACTGGTTGGTTTTTTTAAGACAGGGTCTAACTAGGTAGTTCAGGCTGGCCTTGAATTCACCATGGCCTTGGAACCTCAGCAATCTTCCTGCCTCCTGAGTGCTGATATTACAGGCATGGACCACATGCCCTGTTGCCTAAGTCTTAAGACAAATCAATTCTCTTGGAAAGATGAAGACTCAGATTCCCAGGGTCATTACCCTTTCACCCCAGCTTCCCTTCTCACTCAGTTACTCAGGCCAGTAAGAAGTGCTGGGTTCCTAAGTCAATCCCTGGCATGTTCTTCCAGGTACAGGAAGGAACCATAACCCAGCAGGCTATGTCAAGCACTGATCATCCAACCCTAACTACTTTTCCCATCCTCCTGCAACCCACCCAAGGAGACTGAGGCCCAGTCTAGCTTCTCTGAAGGAACCTTTGAAATGAAATGAAATTATAAATTTTCACAGCAGTCTCAGCAACCTAAGCAATCTTAGGTTCTTCTCTGCTATGCTCTGTAGCTCAGAAACCAGCCCACATCTCCAGTCCATAAAAAGGTCGGTGCCCCCAACCCCTAACTGTCCACAAAGCAATTTGTTTCTCATGCCTGCAAATTAAAACTGCAATCTCTCCACAAGAAAAAAAACCAAAAACCAATAAAACACAAAAAACCCTGCCTTTAAAGCCTTCCTGGGCCAACTGCCAGGAGCACTCTCAACCAGTCTGAGCCAGAGACAGCAGTTCCCAGGATTCTCCCAGTGGGAGCTGCTGTGCTATCTCTATCTGGTTAGATTCCATTCACTCCCACATCTCACAATCCAAATCCTGCAGAGCTAAGCAGAACTCTGTCCTTACTCTCTCCCAAGGAGCCTGAAGTTAGGGTCTCATTGTTTCTTTGAAGGAGAGGGGGGAAATTCATTCAGTTATCCATCTGACAATCACCAAGCACCTATGTTGTTTCTGGTACTAAAATCATAGCCCATGTCGGCATAAGTGCTGGCTTTTATTTGATATTTTGCCCCAGTATTTTAAAGCACCATAAAGCTCCTATGACCCCAGCCTGTGTCAGAGTCTTAGACAATCCTTATCTCCCGGGGGGGATGGTCTAGACCCCAGTGTGTGGCTGGTTAGAGTCAAAGGGGACGCTACCTTCTCACTAGTTTAGATTCTGCAGCCTAGATCTCATCACCTGGGAGGAGGGAGAGAATTCAGCCTGATCTTTGGTCCATGCCCAGGCCAGCTATGCTGGCCCAGCTCTAAGCTTAAGTGGTGGCTAAGGGGAGGACACAAATAAGGGTCACTTACCAACATCCACATTTGTATAAAGCACTGTGAAAATCAAGTGAACTATTAATGTTCTAGTCTTCCATATACCTTTATAAATGTGGCTTATAGTGATCTGGAAGGTTAGGTTTGAATTTAGGTGCGCAGGGAGGAGGAAGGAGAAGGAGATTAAAAAAAAATTAAGATGTTATATCTGTATGAACTCCCCACAATGAATGCAATTATTGTGTGCTGCAAACATGTACTAATAACAATTAAAATAAACAGGTGAGAACTTAGCTGTCTAGTGCTCCTTGCAGTTCCATACTAGAATGTGCCCCAGGCCCAGCCCCGGCCTAGAAACTCCCTTGCTGTCCCCACTTCACAAGGCAAACGTCCTCATAAGTATGCGTGTGGGGGCCTCAGCCTGCACCCGTATTTCTGACTCCTGTCACCCATCTTTCTGACAAATCTCTTGGCCACTGCTGGTCTGAGTATTTGTGTCTCCCCAAATTCATGTGTGGAATTTAATTTCCAATGTGATAGAATTAAAAGGTGAAGCCAGGTGTGGTGGTGCACGCCTGTAATCCCAGCACTCCGAAGGCCGAGGCAGGAGAATCGCTGTGAATTCAGACCAGCCTGGGCTACATAGTGAGTTCCAGGTCAGTCTCAACTACATAGTGAGACCCCATCTCAAAAAAACAAACAAAAAAAAAGACACACAAAAAACGGTGAAGCCTTTAGGGAGGTGTTTAAGTTAGAAGAGTGGAGCTCTCATGACCAGAACCAGTGCCTTTAAAAAAAGAGGCCTGGCTACGAGTTTAGTTCAGTGGCATGAGTTTGATCCCTGGTACTGAGGGAAAAAAAAAAAAAAAATCACCACCCTTTGGACCTATGAGCATGCACACCAAGAGCACAATCTGTCCCTGGGACCAGAGGGGAGGGGTCCTGAAGTGGGTCTGCCAGATGATTCTGGGGCTCTGTGTGCTAGACGTAGTGTGTCTAGCAGAAGAAAGGGGCCTGCAAACCCTTAGCTCCATAGAAAGGGGTGTGGATGAGCCTTGAAAAGGCCCAAGCAGGGAGAATCCAGGCAGATGCTCACCCTCTTGCAATGGGATCATCCAGGCTTTCCACTGATGCCAAAGACAAGTCCCTTGCTACTTCCCTGGGCTCTGTCACTGGTTCCTTTCCACGCTGGGTGGTGACCAAGAAACAGGCATACCAGTTACAAAAGAAAAAATACTGTTTATTCCACACAACTACATCCCTATTCTCCCCTCCCCACCATTCCCTCCAGCCCTCGGTAGGTGTTGCCCTGCGCTGGGGACAGTCAGAACCCCAGTGTCAGAATCTAGCCTATGAGGCAGGAAAGGAAACTGGGCATAGGAAGATGACTGGCTTTCCAAGGACACAAAAACATCAGCATTTCTCGCTGCAAACTCAAGTGTGTTCCTCAATTCTTCTGACCAAATTCTTCCCTGGACTTCGCCTGAATATAATATCGTGGTCAGTGCAGGGTCAAAGGCCTCAGCTGATTCAGCAGGCCTTAGAAAGTTTTGTTCTTTCTTTCACTTCAAAACAAAACAAACACAAATTGTACAGTTAGCCATTTCTGCCCACGCTATCTTACCATGGCAAAGGAGCCACCAAGCTCTGGCTTGATGCCAGAATGAGGCTTTCAAAATCAAAGTAATATCAACTCAGTTCAGAGCCTGATACTAATTGAAAAATAAAAACCACCACAAAAAAACCCCACCTCACTGGCAAGTGGCCCTAGGCCCCAGCTGCTTTTTGAGGGTCCCAGGTAGGGGAGCAAGGGCAGAGCATAGTGCAGTGGCAAGCACGGCCTCCAGTATGCTTCAGACACACGTTGTACCCCACCGCTTGGGGAACCTGGCCTGCAAACACCCATCTCTCTGAAAGACCAATCCACCTTCCTGTTAGAGGAATAGAAACAGCTTAGTTTTAGCCAGCCTCGGGAAGACAGATTTATATGAGGGAAGGGCTGAGAAAACACAGCCAGGACTAATTTAGACCAGTGGTTCACGATTTTTTTTTCCTGCCAGGCCACAGGACAGATGGTGTTGTCCTGCATGTCCACACCGTTTGCTATGCTACTCCCAGGACACCAGCTATAACTGATTTGTCTCCCCCCCAAAAGAAAGCACCTCTGAATACAAGCATTTGAGCATGAAAACCTGCATCTCTCACTCACTGAAGTGTGATTTGCCAACTCCTTGACAAACTCTGACATAGTCACGACTCCTACTGAACATGAGCGTATAACACCCCTCTCAAGTGAGTCGACATCTCACAGAGGGGCTGATGCCCAGGATCCAGAGTGTGGCACCTCCCCTTTGAGACACACTCACCCCTGGGAGGCTGGATCAGGCAAGCTGCCCACCTGCCTCTTCAGCCCACCATGCCCTTGGCTGGTCTGAATGCAGAAGGGTACCAGCATGCATACATACATCTATCCTCCCCCTGGCAGGGGCACCAAGAGGGCGGCCACACTAGCACTGCAGGGCCCTGGAGAGACCATCAGTAACTAGAAGAGGAAACACAGCACCGCAGAGCTATCCAGGCTAGGAGGTGGCTCTGTGCCAGGGACCAACAGAGGTGATGAGGTACCCTTTCCCGGAGGTCACGACCTCAGGGGATGTTTCGTAAGTGCAGTGGAAGAAAACTGCAGGCTCTATAAGGATGAAAGTAGAGAAAGAGTAGTTCACTCCTGGGATTTGTGGCCTTGTAAGGACAGCTTCTACAATATGTTTGGGCTGATCCACGCAAACCTAGTTCTCTCCTGACCGCCTAGCTCACACACTGAATTTTAAGGGCTGTCCAGCCACAAAAAGGGTAACAGCTCGCTTAGCAGTTTGGATGAGATGCCAACTCCCATTGTACATGGTACCCCCTCTAGAGGCAAACTGGTTCATCCTGATCTGGCGAGATCCTGACCCAGAGGACAACTGTGGGGACTGCTTTCACAATGACCAATCCACCACCCAACAAAATGAGATTTCTCCAAAGTTAAAATGAAAATGTGAGTTAAGTCAACTTCCAGAAGAAACTTCCCTGGGCGGCCATCATTTCCTTCTGGGTATTCTCCCGCCCATAGCCTTGCTACCTGGCCTTTTGTTTCATTTGCTCTTTTGAGAAGGCCCCCGTAGGGGATCGGGCTCAGTATGGACAAGAAAAAGAGACAGAAACTCAGTATTCTTTTCATTTTTCTTCAGAGCTGGTTGCGTGCTTGGACAGTGGGATGATTTTCCAGGCTATGAGTTCTTGTTTTGTGGGCAGTGGCCATGGGAAGAGATTAGATTAAAATCTGGGAGGATGGCCTCACTTACTAAATTCCAGCAGCCGACCCAGGACAACTTCAGGATGGGTAGAGTTCACTGTTGCTTCCTCCCAACATGGATTGCAAGATAAAAGATTCAGCTTTAGTGCAATATCCTCACCACATCCCAAGGAACTTGAGTGAGGAGCTCGCATGTTCTGGCCCCATGGGTTTGGGAACCTTCTGACCTTGCAGTCAGACTTTGTGTCCAACCATCTGAGCAGCATACCACACTTTTCTAAATTTAATCTCCTGGATCCTTTCAGGGGTTTAGTGCACCTGTAGGCAAGGTGAGGAGGGCAGTGTGAGGCTGTGCTTCCACTGGATCAACTGTCACACCTACCACACTAACAGAGAAGCCTAGGAGAAGAGAAAAAGGAAGAGAATGCCATCGAAAACAAGAGCTAATGGCTGAGGGTCCTCACGAGATGCTACAGCTCTGCCCCAAATACAGAGAGCTTCTGGTTCCCAGGCAGAATTCCCCCTTTCCAAAACCTTACTAGCAAAGTGCTTTTCTGAGAATCACTGCAAATCCCTTCCTGTGGCGCGCCCAGCCCAGAGACTGGGGCTCTCATGGAGGTCCCTCTGCCCTCCCCAGGATGGAAGATATGGGGGGAAGACGAGGGAGGCATCGACGCACATGCACACAGTGGAGTCTCAGACCAAGGGCAAGCACAGCCGCACGTAGCAAGATGACAGGTACTGCCACGGCACTGGCGACAGCTGGGTGCCAAGGCAAGAAGAGTACAAAGTGCTGGAACATAGGGCTGGGGCTGAGCCCTACGGGATCTGAAAGACATTCAGCTTGCTGGTATTCTTGAGTGTCTGGCGCCGATTGCAGAACCAGACGCGCACGACCTCTCGGTCATAGTTGAGCTCCTTCGCAATCTCCGTGATCTCCTGGCCTGTGGGCAGTGGGTTCTTCTCAAAGTAGGCATTGAGAGCCTCTATGGCCTGGGGGGTGAAGGAAGTGCGACGTTTGCGCTTCTTGGAGGGCTCACCTCCCACAAACTCCATCAGGTTCTGCTGGCCTTCCTGGTTCCGCAGCTCAGCCTCGTTCAGCCACTTCTCCAGCACTGGCTTCAGCTTCTGCGCACTCTTAGGTGTGATGTCCAGCTTCTCAAACCTGCAGCCCACACATGCATAGGAAGGGACAGAGAGAGCATCTCAGTCTCTTCAGCACTTGCAAACCTGGGAAGAAGCTACTACCCTCAAGGGGCTGCTCCTCTCGAGCCTTCTGAGACCCAAGCCCGTGTCCCCTCACCGCCTCCACCACGACCCCCTTGGCTGGACTGAGCCCAGACTCATCAGACACTCCAACATCTCAGGTCTACACAGGGAGGCCATTCCCACAGCCAGCTCAGCAGGATGACGCTAACAGTGCCCTAAACAACTGTTCCAGAACTTTCACACCCAAATAGGTCAGTGGCCTCCGGAGGATATGAGTGCTGTCCTCTCCCACTCCTCTTCTCACAGCAGCAGCACTAGCTGATTGACCACTCTAGTCCTTTGAGCAGTGGCCTCCGGAGAATATGAGTGCTGTCCTCTCCCACTCCTCTTCTCACAGCAGCAGCACTAGCTGATTGACCACTCTTTCTAGCACAGTGTGGCACAGTGGTTGTTCTAACGGTCGCTCTAATCTCACCGCAGAGCAGACAAAACCGTTCGGCCATCACCGAGCCATGCACTTATTACTGTCTGAAACTCTGCCACCTTTCCTCGGGTTCTGGCATGAAAACTTGCTAGTTTGTGGGCAGCACACAGAAAACCCAGCTCTGTTACTTACAGCAATACCTCACCCAAGGGGGAACGGGGGCACGATGAGGTATGGTACAGGTGAGGGCAAGACAGAACTAAAGTCCCACTTTTCTGACTAATGTTATAAGCTGTGTTCCTTTACTGCTAGGATTCCCAAATGGATTTGGGTCTTGGGTTCTGCCAAAAAGACCAAATATTTCCAAAGGACTGAAGGGCAAGTTTCAGAGGGCTCTAGGAGGGCTAGGCGAGTCTTTGGCTATGCCAGGCGCTCATGCCCACCCTTGGGAGTCTTCCTTAGCTGGAAGAAGGTGGGAACATGGGAGAATACAGGAAGGGGCTGGATGTCCAGGTCTCCATGAGTGCCTGGTGGCAGAAAGCACTGAGCGGGCCCTGACCTTATCCGGGACAGCTTTACTCACCGGCAGATGGCTGACTGGCTGTAGGCTGGACCTTCTGTCGCAGTCAGAGCCTGGCCCACCTGGGTCTGTGTAAGGCCCAGGGAGAGCCGCCGGATCTTAAAGTTCTTGGCAAACTCCCGGATCTCTTCTAAGTTGATCCCATCCTCATCCAGATTTGGAGTATGCGGCTCTAGGCCAGAGGAAGGCACCAGGGAGAGCGTAAGATGGGCAACATCGCTGCTCATCTGGTCCACCGGTCTGGACTGGTGTAGCAGTGGGGGCTGGCAAAAGGCACCGGTGCCCTAATCCCCTCCCCACCCCTGCCAAGGAAGACTTGCGGGAGAGGCCCCGGAACCAACCTATCAGGATAGGGTCTATTATTGTCAAGTTTCTCAGCTCCAACTGCTGACCCTGCCCCATGCTCCCTGGTCCTTCCCCAAGCACACCTGTTGGCCATCCACATTCCTCAAATGCTGAGTTTCAAGACCACAGCAGAGATAGCCAATGACTCGGCCTCTCAGAAAGGCAGCCAAACAGCCAGCTGAGCAGCTGACACCATCGTCACGCCCAGAATCCAGCCCAACAGGAACAGGACTAGGAAAGCCAATCCCTTGCCAGGCATAGTGGTACACACCTGCAATCCCAGCACTCAAGAGGCCGAGGCAGGGGAATCACCATGAGTTTGAGGCCAGTATGTGCTGCATAGTGAGGTCAAGGCTAGCCTGAATTATATACTGAGACCTTGTCTCAAAAAGAAGGAAGAAAGAAAGAAAGAAAGAAAGAAAGAAAGAAAGAAAGAAAGAAAGAAAGAAAGAAAGAAAGAAAAGAAGGAAGGAAGGAAGGAAGGAAGGAAGGAAGAAAGAAAGAAAGAAAGAAAGAAAGAAAGAAAGAAAGAAAGAAAGAGAGAGAGAAAGGGAGAGAGAAAGGGAGAGAGCAAAGACTTTGCTGAGCATGGTGGCACATGCCTGTAATCCCAGCTTCTGGAGGCTAAGTCAGGAGGATCAAAAACTTCAGACCAGCTTAGGCAACTTAGTGAAAATTTGCTTCAAAATAAAACAAAAAGGGCTGGTGAGGTAGCTTAGTGTACAGCACTTGACTAGCGTGCACAAGGCCCTGGGCTCAATCAGTAGTATCACAAGAAGTAGGAAGAGGAGGAAGATGAGAACAACAGGGGGAGGAAGAGAAAGGTTAGAAGAAAAGGGGTGGGGGGAGGTAGAGGAGGAGGAGGGGCAGAAGAGAACAGCAGCAAGAAGGAGGAGGAAGGGAAGGAAGTGGAGGGAAAGGAGAGGGGGAGTAGGAGAAAGCCTGCCTCTTATCCTAGGCCTTTGCCCTTTGGACTCCAGGAAATTTATTTACTTGAGATGGAGTCTGTCTATGTTGCCCAGGCTGGCTTTGAAATCCTGGGCTTAAGGGACCCTCCTGCCTCAGCCTCCCACTGAGTAGCTGGGCACACAGGCATGTGCCACCAATCCATATCTAACCAATTTATGAAGGAAAACAGTATCTGAGATCAGGGTACCCAAGTAAATGCATTCTCCTACTTCTTCACTCTTCTGTTCTGGGAACCACTTACTGGACACCAACTGGCTGACCGTAGGGGTCTCTGAGCAGGTGATGGGGATAGGAGCAGAAGCAGATGGCTTGGCTGCTGGAGCTGGGCTGGTGATGACCACAGCAGGCTGGGGCACAACTGGTGTGGGCTGGATGGGCTGCACCTATGGGAAGAGAGACAAGGCCCTGTTGCTCCCTACCCGGCTTGAAATCCCTGGGTGGTCCAGAGACAGAGCAGAAATGGGCATTAAATCCTCATGGCCCACCAGCACACTGCCACCTGTGCCATATCAAAAAAGCAAGATTAGAAGCTGCTTATTAACACCCTCTCCTTGATAATGACCTCCTAAGTCAGCACAGCAGCAAGCTCCACCAAGCCGGAGCTTTCCGGCTCTTCTTTTTGAGACACAGGCAGGTGAGAGCTCGGAAAGCTTCAGTGCATGTGGTCAGATTCCCAACAAGTGCCCACCTTTGGGGTAACTTCCCTCCCATCTCTGCCTTGAGAAATTTAAACCCGATTCTAGAGCCACCCAGGCCTCCAATGTCCATGAAGAAGGAGACAGTAGGTAACTGTGGGAGGGCCCTCTCTACAGTGAGGGAATGTGGAGCAGTCCGAAAGAGCAAAGTAGGGCTGGTGGGGTGCAGCTCAGAAGTAGAAGAGTTGTCTGGTGTGGGAAAGGCCCTGAGGTTTCATTCCCAGCACCACAAATGTCAATAAAAAGAATGAAATGTCTCTCTGAACTACTCCGAATCACAGTGCTAAGTGAAAAACAATTTTTATGGAATAATGCCTTTAAAAGTACCTATGAATGTGCAGAAAAAATCTGTAGTCATATTAAGCAAGCTGTCACCAGAATTCATTTTTCAAGATTGAAAGAGAAGGGATATTATTATTATTACTATTATTATTATTATTATTGGTGGTGGTGGTATTAAGAATTAAACCCAGGGCCTCATGCAAACACTCTACAACTGAGCTCCCCAACCCAAGGGATTTTAAATCTTTACATGACACAAAATGTTACAATTTTAACAGACATAAAAATTGACGAGGCATGATGGTGCATGCCTGTAATTCCAGCATTTAGGAGGCTAAGGCAGGAGGACTGCTGTGAGTTCGAGGCTAGCCTGGGCTACATCCTGGACTACATCCAGGACTACATCAAGGCCATCCTGAGCCGTATAGCAAGACCCTGCCTCAAACACACACACACACACACGGAGAAACTATAAAAATATGAAATCAGTACTTTCAGTATGATGGAAAAAAAAAAAAAAAACAAAACCTTCATAGGAGTTTTTGTGAGTGCAGGACTCTCCAGGATCCAGTTCACTGGGTTCTGCCTCTGGTCTATCCCCTCTCCATGCCCAAGGGTTTTTTGCCTTAGTTCATAGATCCTCGTCCCTTGCTAGAATGACATTAGCTGTCTCCTATCTGGTAACGATTATTCAAATTTCACAACAGTCCAGATTTGGATCTACCTGGGTAACAGGAATTTTTTTAAGCACATCTGATCAACCATTTCCATGTTCAAAAACCTATAGCCCTATAGCAGCGCCCCACCCCTTAACAATAGTAGTATCAGTAACTATTGAAACTATTGAAAACTATTGCTTTTCAAATGGTCTTTGTGTACCAGAGCATTAGTGGCCTTTGTGTAACATCCACAACCTTCAGAAGCAGGTACTTTTCTACTTTTTTTTTTTTTGTTTTTGGTACCAGGGATCGGATTGAAGTTGGATCCTTGTGCTTGCAAGGCAGGTGGCAGAACCACTGAGCTAAATCCCCGGCCCCTTGAAGTGAGTGGGTACTTTTCTAATTCTGATTTTTCAATAGAGGCTAAGTGATTATTTACAAAGTTCAGAAGCATCATGAAATATTTGAGGACGTCTGGCCTGTGTCACCTGGCAGCTTAGAATGCACATTCTGGGGCTCCACTTCAACCTAAGGAAAACTCATCCTTCTGCTGGGCCCACCAGGGATTCTGAGGCACAGGTTTGAGAACGACCAATCTGGTGCAGACCCTTGCTGCAGTTCCTCAAAGACAGCATAATCAAAGCCATGGTACAGGCATGAAGAAGGGATGCAGTGTTAACCTTCTAGGGCTTTCCTAGCAGTCTGTTTGCTCTGAAGCTGACTCAAGCCCATTCTGCTGTGACCACACCCCCACAGCCCCTCCCTGGACTTCTTTTTTGTTTTGTTTTGGTACTGGGAATCGAACTCAGTACCTTAAGCTTTCAAAGCAGGTGGCAGAACCAAAGACGAAATCCCTGACCCCCTGGACTTCTCAAGAGTGGCAATGGTCTCTGAGGGCACAGGCAAATGTTTCAGAGCATATGTGGTAGGGAACCAGAGAGGGCAGCTTCCCTGGGAAGGACGTATGTGGTCTCATATAGCCCTTCTACCTGGGGCTTCCCCTCACTTTTGGGAGGACCCCTGCTCTCCCAGGAGTTTCAGAAGATGTTATTCTGCCTGGCAGACTGGAAAGAAGGAGCCCATGCCCAGCAGCATTGCCTGGCCCCCTACCCACACCCCAACACTAGTACCTCACTCTTAGCAGGGGACTCAGGTGTGCTTGGCTTCCGGACAGCCACAGGTGGAGGCAGGGGACTGCTGGCCAGAGTCGCAATCACCTGGCCCTGGGCGTTCAACAACAGTTGGGGGGTCACGGCCTGGACCTGCAGGCTTTGAGCTGGTGCTGGGGATGCCACGCTAGCTGAGTTCACCACCCACGGAAGTGTTCCAATGACCTGGGAGGAAATAAGGCAGGGAACCGGATGTGAAGGTAGTGTCCAGCTCCACCCCAACCCAAGTGCCCACACTGGCAGAGGAAGAGGCTAACTTGGACAAACCAGTTAACCCCTCAGGCCTATTTCCTCTTCAACAAAACGAAGGCTCCACACTCTCAGGCTCCTGCCTCTATGCTATCTCCAGAGCTGTGGGGCAGCAGCGGCAGGTCTGTTTCTGAATCAGAGAGATTTGGATGCTGATGCCCGCTCAGAATGGGTTCTCCATAAATCACATTCTTCAACCAGAATGAATGCCTCCACGGCTGGGCGGTGGCTGCATCCCTGCCTCCCCTCAGCAGCAGCAGAGACCTATGAACAGCAGCTTGGTGCCTACCAGGCCAAGTCCCGGCTGCCCCCCGTTAGCTTTTCCAGACCTCCACCCCCAGCCCCCAAAGCCCTCACTGTGACCACTTGCCTGTCCCTGAGCATTGGTGAGGATCTGACTGCTGATCCCTGGCATGCTGGGGATGGCGCTGGTAATGACCGGAGTTGTAGTGAGGGAGCCCAGGATCTGGGTCTGTGCCCCAAGGGAAGCAGCACTGATCTGTGGGTGGAGGAAGAGTCCTGCTCAGAGACCAGGGGGCAAGAAAGAGACCCAGATAGAGGGAAGCAGGCCAAGGGCATGGGATGGGCAGATGCCCATCTCCATTAACTGAATAGTACGCAGGGCTAGGCAGGGACTATAGGGGAAGTGGGCAAGGTAGGATCACAGCACAGCCATGGAACTGGACAATATTTCATGCCAGGCTGGGAGGGTAGAAGGGCCGGACTGGCCTTGGCTGATGTGCTCCAGGTCACATCCGGCAGCCCTGCTACCAAGCCAGGAGCCACACTGGACAGATATAGGGGCTGGGAGCCTCTGGCTGCACCTTAGTGGTGGCTCACAAGTTTGTAATCCCTAAAGACACCATCCCGCCCTCCAAGGCTGGTCTACTGGCTCAGGTTCTGGAGCATCTGCCCAGGCCTTTTGGTAGAGGTTGTTCTCTTTTGTCTGGGCTGGACAGGCTGACAGCTCCTGGAGAAGACCTCGGGGGGAGCTCATCTCTGTTGATGTGTTGGAAAAGGATTGTATTCAAGGGGCTGTTCTTCCACTGGCCAAGATTTGGTTCAAGGCTGTTCCACCTTTGGCCAAGATTTGATCCATCCCTGGTCAGCCCTGGGTGTGGGCAGCAGCTTACGATTCCAGGGCTAAATGCAAAGCCTGCAGGCTGGACGGTGATCTGTGGGGTGGTGTCCACTGGCTTGGGGGTGGGGGCAGCAGCGGTGGCAGCAGTGGGCTGCGGTAGGATGGCAGGTGTGGTCTGCAGCAGTGGCTGGGTCTGGAACAACGTCTGGGGCTGGGCTGGTGGCCGGGGCTGGCCTGGCGAGGAGTCCTGGGCTGGTGGGGCAGCTTGCACGGGTGCCGGGAGAGCGGTGTTCAGCACAGCAGCTGCTACGGAGCAAGGCAGAGACAGAGGTGCTCAAATGCCTAGCCACAGCCCGGAGCATCTCCAGTCCTAAGGGATTTGGCAGGAGAAGGACAGGGGTCGGGGCAGCGGGCATGGGAGTAATCAGCCACGATTCCCTTGATCCTTGAAGGGCCGGCACATGCCAGCATCAAGAACCAGATGTTGACTCTTCTTACAGTCCTTCTCATGAGGTTGGTCACAGGGTGGACTCTGGCGTGGGGGCAGGGGGCAGTCTCAGGCAGTCGCTGAAGGAAGAAAGGCCTGCTGGCCAGCATGGTGTCCTGGCCTAGAGTCCCAAGATGGAGCAGCGGCTCTGACTGGGTGCCTAGGACACTGGATCCAGACTCCAGGGCAGTCACCCCGGGTGGGCTGCGGGTTCTGAGTCCAACATGGCAAGCACACGTGCAGGGGCAGCAGTGTAGGGTGGTAGGGGCCTGGTGCAGTCCTGGGGAGAGTTGCCGTTACCTTGGAGACCGGCTAAAGGTGGCTTGAAAATTCCCCCCGTAGGAGAAGCAGCAGTCAGTCCTGGGAGGGCAGCCACGGTTGCTGTAGGAATTGTCCACACGGCCAGCCCCTGCTGCCCAGCCACTTGACCTGCAATACTGATGGGGATAAGAAGAGGTTGAGTAACTGCCCCTGCTGGAACCATAACTCCTGTCAGAACTGTGGCTAAGTTTTCCTGAGTCAAGACCTGCAAAAGCAAACAAGATTTCAAAAAGAAAAGAAAAAATAAAAAATCAACATTGACAGTGCAAAAACTGGGTCTCTCAGACCCAGCTAAGTACAAACAAAGCATTCTGAGGGCAGTGGGGGAAAGGCCACAGAGGATGAGGGAGAGCCACGCCTTAGCTGGAGCCCCACCTGAGGAGCGCCCAGACCACACTATTCTGCCTGCAGAGGGATCCTCCAGATCAAGTCAGGACCAGGCCTGAGCCCCACACAGGCCTCTTGCCCTGCAGTCGGCTGCCTCCTGAGCCTTCCCTGGGCCCTGACCTACAGGGCCAGTGCTTTGTGGCCAGGAAGCCGGGGCAGAGGTTGCAACCAAGTGGTCAAATGCCCAAAGAGGACTCCAAGAAGCTCCAGGGAAAGAAATCCTTGACTGGCTGGCTGGAGATCAGGGCAAGGAGCAAAGGTCACAGGGATCTGCATGCCTGCAGGATCCCTGAGGCAGCTCCTCACTGTGCTGGGGCTGCTCCCTGGCTCTAAATGAGGACAATCCACTAATTCTTCCTTCCAGGCATCAGCTGGAGGGGCTGACAAGGGTATTCACTCATTATTGCATGAACAGACACTCTGGCAGCATGAAAGACACAGTTCCGAACTCAAGCAGATGGCCTGGCAAACAGTTCCTCTGCTTTTCTAGTTTCTCTTTTCTAACTGGCCCGATTAGGTCAAGAGGTGACCTAGACCAGGGGTGCCTAGCGAGAGACTCCGCCCCTAGCCGCAGCTTCTTCCCCCTCCCGCCTCATGCAGGATCCCAGGACCACCCTATCTCTTGCTCGGTCCAGCTCCCTGTGGTGGCCCTTACCTGGGGGGCAGCTTGTACAGCCAGCGGTGTCAGGGTCTGCGATGCCTGAGGCTGGCTTGGGGCGTGGCTGAAGGTGGCCACGGCAGGGGCAGGGCCCGGAGGGATCCCGGGGATTGACTTCACTTCACATGGCATTGAGAGAGAGAAGAACAAGCAGTGAGCCTGGCGTGAGGAGAGGTGTCTTTGGAGCAGCCCTGTTACTCTCAAGCCCACAATGCATTTCTACACAACCCAAGGCCATCATCAGCCTTCCCTGGCCCATGAGGCAGCTTGTCTAATACCACCCACAGTGACACAAGGAGGCTGGAGAGCCCTGCTGGAGCTCCGGCAGACAGGCTACCCTCTTCCCACATCTAGATGAAGAAAAGGCAGGTCTCTGCACAGAGGGGTGTCAGCCTGCCTTTCCTAGCTCTACCGGGCACTCTGACCTCTCACATCAACAGCAGAAGGGCCTGAGGCAGACAAGAGGCAGGGAGAGAAAGAGCTAGAACTGACGGGAACAGGTATCCTGGGCTCAGCCAGCAACAGATTTGCTATTTTTTGGATTAAAAGTGCTGGTTTAGGGAAGAGGCAGGGTTCCTACAGGGCAAAGTCCTCGAAAACTGGACATGTTCTTGTCACACTGCAGGCTCTCAGGGGGTCTCTGCCATCCTCTGAGCCCTACAGTAAGGTGAGCAACTTCTATGAGCTTCCAAAGGAATTCCCAGGCACTAGACCTTTTCACCTCCTCTTGCTATCTCGACCAATTCAGCAATTGGGATGCATCCACTAGAAAGGCTGATTGCAGCCACGCACAGTGAAAAGAAGGGTTATAATTCACATAAGATCACATGCTAAAAGGGGTTTAGGATTTAGGTATTGGACAGTGCAGTGGCTTGCTTATTGCCATTTTAAAATTTTATTTTATTTTAATTTTTTTACTGTGCCAGAGATCAAACCCAGGGCTTTGCACACAATTGGCCAACGCACTACCACTGAGCTCCATCTCCAACCCTTCTGAGATAGCATCTTGCTAAGTTGCCCAGGCTGGCCTCAAACTCTCAATTCTCCTACCCCAACCTCCCCAGTAGCTGGGATCACAGGTGTGCAGGTAAGCACCACAACCCCCAGCTTCACGTCAGTCAGTGGCTTCTTCATACTGACTGGGTGTATTTCTAGGCTCTCACCTAGGCCTAATGAATCAGAATGCCTAGGAGTGAAGGCAAGTGAACACCGCCACCACCCACCCCTCAAAGTTCCCTTGTGGCCAGGGTGTGGTGATGCATGCCTGTAATCGCAGCACTCGGGAGGCTGAGGCAGGAGGATCACTGTGAGTTTGAGACCAGCCTGGGCTACATAGTGAGTCAACTACACAGTGAGACCCTGTCTCAAAAAAAAAAAAAAGTTCCCTTGTGACACAGCACGTAGCCAGGAACAGGAACCACTGAATTAAATAACCTTAGGAGCTTCGTCCAACTCTGCAGTCTTAGCCCATATATTCATTTGGAATATTCAGCCCAGTGCAGGAGAGTAACGTTCACAGCATAGACTAATAGAAGTCAGCAAGTTTAAGAGATTAAAATGACACGATGTACACAACAACAAAGCCTTGCAATACATTAAATAATGGAAATGGAAGGTTTATTTTGTCTTCAGAAGGAAGAAACAAGAGGGCCAGGGATTTAGCTCAGTGGTTCTGCCACTGCTTCACAAGCACAAGGTTCTGAGTTCGATCCCCAGTACTGAAAGAAAGAAAAGGATAATCTGAGCACAAAAAATTTAAAGGAATTGTGTTGGACAAAATGTAATGAAACACAAAAAGGAAAATGAGAAAATGAGAACATGACAACTGTAAATGAGAACCGCTTACCATCTAAAGGAAATATTTTAAAAATTAGGTTAATATTTCAGAACTAGGACCCCAGAATACAAGGGTTTACAAACATTCGTAGTTTTTGTCACTTATTTGGGGGGGGGGCAGGTACCAGGATCGAACTTGGGTCCCTGCACTTGCAAAGCAGGTGCCAGAAACCCCTGAGCTAAATGCCTGGCCCTGTCATTTCTTCTTAATGACTGTTTATTTATTTTCTGACCTAATAGACATGTGGCACCTTAAAGGCAATTACTCTTTTTCTCAGTGATAGCACAATGTTTTTATCTTTCTTAGGTCAATAATTAATCTACTATCAAAAGGAACTTTAGTGGACTGCACCACAAATATGAATTTACAAATTTGAAGGATCAATACGAAAATGTTCAAAGCAGCATTATGAGAATGAAGAAACAATCAATTTGACAGTTGCTGAAATCAGAAGCAAGTACATAAGCCTGTGTGAATAAAGGAAATGAGCACATTCACGTTTAAAGGAAATGAGCAAGGGTCACACTCCATATTCCACTCTTGGCAGCCACAACTATAAAAATATACGTATTTGCAAGCACAGGGTTCTGAGTTCAATCCCTGGTACAGAAAATATATATACACATGTATGACAAGTAGGTAGTTAGAGTGACACAAATCACTGGATTCTTTTTTTTCATCCTGAAATTTTTTCCTGTTATTTAGTTTTGTTTTAATAAAAGGAAACCTTTCTTCATATTGTACAACCAGAAAGTTCCCATCAGTGTAAGGTGGCAGCTTCTGAGGGGGCACCATCAAAATACTTCCCTTGCCTGCCTGATAATGAATAAAATTCCTACCAGGGGTGGTGGTGCTGTACACCTATAATCTCAGCACTCTGGGAAGCTGAGGCAGGAGGATTGAAAGTTGAGCCCAGCCCAGGCAACGTAGTGGAACTCTGTCTCAAAATAAAAAATTGGCTGGGGAATTTAGCTTTCTGCAATAGACCTGGCTTCAATCCTCAATATCATACCCTCCCCCTACAAGACTAAAATTATTTCATGAAAAGGAAGACTTTCATAAAATGCTTCAAAATGCAAACCTCCAAAAGATGCATACTACATGAACATTCCTATAGTCATGCTAAGGTATAAATAATTGATTTAGGGCCCCCCCATACTGGGTTGAACCCAGGGCCTTTGAATTGAACCTCTGAGCTACATCCCTACCCCTTTTAAAATTTTGAGATAGGGTTTTGCTAAGTCACTAAATTGCCCAGTGCTGAAGATTACAGGGCTGCTCTACAGCTCCTGGTTTAGAATCCACTTCCTAGAGTAAATTTGGATAAGGAATAGAATTAAGGGATTACAAAAAAAAGGAGATATGAAAAATGGATCAAAGGTGAAAAAGTGAAGTCGGGGCTGGGCTTGGTGGTGCACACCTGTAATCCAAGCACTCTGGGAGTCTGAGGCAGGAGGATTGCAAATTTGAGCACAGCCTTGGAAATTTAGTGACTTATTGAGATCCCATTTCAAAATTTAAAAAAAGAAAGAAAAAGAAAAAGAAAGGAGGGAAAGGAAAGAAAGAACAAAAAAAGGGAGGGAGGAGTGGGTTGGGGATATAGCTCAAGGCCAAGGCCCTAGGTTCAATCTCCAGTCCCAAGGGGAAAAAGAGAAGGTGGGGACCATGGATAACCCCAAGAAACCCCCTGGGTAATCTCATAATGTCTCTGCTGAGTAGAAATGGTGACAGGGTCATAAGAGTCCTTATCCGTCCTGCCCACTCTCCAGGGCACTGCCCCTGGAAGCACGTGAGGGCCCACCCTGGCCTCAGCCAGCAGGCAGAGCATTTCCAGGCTAAGGACAGATGGCCCTGTCCCTTGACACTCTTCTATTCAAAAGGAGAAGAAATAACTAAGGTCACTCAGGTCCCAAAGAACCTGCTGCACAGGAGGAGCAAGTACAGTGAGGCCACATAACTCCCTTGTTAAGGAGCTGCTCTGTTTCTCTGGAGTTGTCTGTTCTCATTCGCTCTCCGCTCTTCCCCTTGGCCCAACCCTGCCAGCCCAAATCTCCTGTCCAGGGAATGGGTGAATGCAGCAGAAGGCAAGGGGAGATGAAGGAGGAAAGGGTCGTGGGATTCTGGGGGAACTGGCAAAGGGAGCCCAAGGCTTCCTACAAGAGAGATGAGCACGCTGCAAGGTGCGGATGAGGAAAGCCGCCGAAAGGGCACTCCGTGGGCACAAGCAGGGCCTGCAACCGACTCCGCTTACAGATAGGCCCGGCTCTCAAGTGTCTCGCAGAAGAATCCGGCTCCCACTCAAAGGTCACCTTCACAGAGGGACTTCACCTGTACACCTGAGAAGAGGGTGCAGGGTTCTACTAGTCTGCACCCTTAGTCTGAGGAAGAGGAGATGCCCTTCCATGCTCAGAACCTGAGACCTCCTGGCCCGATCACAAAAGGATGGAGTTGGAAAGGCTGGCAGGATTCTGAAGGCCCAGTCCTCTCTGTATGGGCCTCACAGTCTGGTTTGGACTGGAAATCTCTGTGAAGTTGATCTAACCCCCTATATTGAGCACTGCTGATCTCTTCCCACCTTACCCTGGACCTTCCCAGTTTAAACCTGAAGGTGACTGCAAGGAGGACTAATAGTCTAGGAACAAGGAATCAGAGTATCCCTGTTTGCCAGGAGTACGAGGCGAAAGGCTGTCTAGTAGAAAGACAAGATCCTAATGTCACCTGGACCCCTAGCTCCCCAAAGGAGCCCAGATGGGACTTGGGGATGTGTTACCAGATAGGAGCGATGGTCTCATACCAGTTGACTCCGTGGAGAGTTCTGGGTTGCCTGGCCCAGCTTCACCAGCAGATTCACTGGCTTCAGCATGGCCCCCTCCCTGGGAGTGCTCAGCAGCCACGCCCTCTGGTCCTTTGCCCTCCTCCTCAGCAGGGAGCTGGGCATCCACGCCAACTTCTAGCACTCGGATGGTCTCATGGCCTGACATCACGATGACCTGCAAGCACAAAAGATGGAGACATTTCTAGGGGGAAGGGAGGCCGGCATGGCCCCTGAGGCTGAACTCTGGGTGTGGCTAGGGGAGAGAGAAGTGGACACTCCTGGGCCACAGGCCTGCTTGCTCTGTGAGAAGGCAAGGGCCGAGGCTAGGCTACCCCTCCCTAATTCCAGGCCCTGGAGATGAGAAGGGTCTGACACAAACTGGAAAAAGTCCCATAGAGCCACACCCCTTGAGAGCTACTTCTATTTGCTCCCCTTCCTGAAATCAGTTCAGGGGGTGAGAAATGACCTCTCCCACAACCTGTGGGGATGTCTTCTTGGATTCTAGGACACTGCAGCGTGGCCTCCTAACGGTATTCACACCTTAAGTTGGGCCGGGGAACAAATTTATCTTTCCTTTCCTTGTAACCACTGGGAAGTTTATCAAAGCTAAAGAGCTGGGAACTGAAGCCCCACGATGATGTGTGACTCAGGATGCCTTTATTTCCCAAATCCTACAGTGAAGAACCAGGATTTCCTTGTAAACTAACTTCCTGGAAGAAGAAACCAGCATCCTGAAGACACAGCCTCTCCTGCCTCACACTGCCCTGCTCCAAATGGATAGCAGGACACCTCCCATGAACCCAGGACCAAATGGTCCCTGGGCCTTTTGGACACTCAGTCTCCTGCTCCTACTCCCTGAACTCATCCCTTACCTCAGCACAGAAGTGCTGCCGTTTGGCCCTTCAAGAATCAGAAAGAAAAAAAAATCAGAGATGAACACTGCATGAAAAGAACTTTGTGTCAGCCATCCCCGGCACGTGACCTGTGCTGAAATGCTCCCACAATACACTCCCGAAGCCTGAAAATTGGACCCAGCCAGAGACAATGCTGGAAAAAGTGAAAATGTGACCCATCAGGAGCGTATTAGTGAAGTAAATCCCGCCAAGCAGGTTACTTCTGCTTTCTGTGACTCGAACTTCACCTGAGGAATTTCACTCCAATGACATCTTTTTTTGGTACCGGAGATCGAACTCAGGACCTTGCAGTTTTGGGGCAGGCGGCAGCACCATTGAGCTAAATCCCTGGCCCCACTCCAATTACATTTTAAGAGGTATCAATCTTTTTTCTCCCTTTAAAAATCATACAAAGATTAAACAGTTGTTGCAAAAATATCAGAAAATCAAAACCCAAAAAATCAGAAAACACAAGCCAGAAAAGTAAACCAACTGACATTCAAGCTTTTCCTCATGTAAACTCATATATATCTGTATACTCTAATTTCTATTTTAGAGTCCCCACTTAAATTACCAAACTTAACCAGGTGTGGTGGCACATGCCTGTAATCCCAGCTTTTGGGAGGCTGAGGTAGGAGGATTGCTGTGAGTTCCAGACCAGCCTGGGCTACATAGTGAGCTCCAGGTCAGTCTCAACTACATAGTGAGACCTTGACTCAAGAAAATGAATAAATTTAAATTACCAAACTTAGCTCCTGAGAAATCCTAGCTGGGCAACTTCCCCTGGACAGCCAACACCGAGGGGCCCTGTGGAGTCTTCACCTCTTTCTCACACCCCTTGGCCCACCACCTCTTCTTGCCCCAGAAAATACCTGCTCATTGACAGTCAGAGATGACTCGGACCCAGCTCCAGGATCCATGGTCTCTGGTCAGGCCGGGGTGGGGGCTGGCCCACACCTAGCGTATCCTGGGTAAGATGGGATTGGAAAAGCAAGCACTGATATGACACAGGGATCAAATTCCCAGACCACCTAGAAAAGTAAAAAAAATAGAATGGTGGGAGGACAGAGAAGCGAGACACTACCGAGCAGCTACAGAAGTAGAAAGAGCAGGATTTTAAGAACTTTTAAGAGTCTCACTTTCTACAGAACCCCAGGAGAACCTACACATGGGCGGCACAGTGCTTGAGTGACGAAGGAAAGGGAGGCTAGGCTTCTGTCCCTGGGAATTCCTTGGTCCAGTGGAAGACCACACACCTAATAGTACCCAAGGTGAATCCGACAGACACTTGGGACTTCAGACAAAGGTGACAAAGGGTATCAGAGTGCTTCTCAGGGGAGAAATCTGGGCAGAACTTCCAGGAAAAGATGGTGAAGACTTAAATTAGCTAGGTGCAGTGGCACATGCTTGGAGTCCCAGCTACATAGGGGGCTGAAGCCAGAGGATCACAGGAGCTCAGGAGGACCAGAGCAGCCTTGGTAATGTAGCAAGTATCATCTCAAAAAAATATATATAAATAAATAAATAAATAAAAAGGCACAGATTAACACAGTGGTCTGAGACCTTAACGTGTGTGATTGTAACCTGGAGCACTTACTAAAAATGCAGATCTCCAGGCCCTCAGAAACTCTGACTCAGTGGATGAACCCCACAGAATCAGCTCTCAGGGGATTCTGTAGCAGTGACCTAAGGACCCAAATGGCCCGTACACGGGTGGCAGGACACCCAAGGTGGTGGAACAGCCTGCCACACACAGTAAGGAGTGGGTGAGCCCCGTGTGAGACAGGTTGTCTGGAGCCACAAACCACAGTCATAAGAAATAAAGGGGATAAATAGGTTTAGACATTTACAGAGGAAACAGCAATTCACATTTCATCGAAGTGCCTACCTTGGGCTAAATACGTAATGCTAACTGACGTATTCTGCATGCCAGTCCTAGGGAGGGGGAGAGAGGGGCATCATACCACTGAGTTATAGTGGGGGAAACCGAGAGGTGTTCTGGATTCCACACCTTTCCCTTCCTTTTCCTCTTTCTGCCTTAGGTTTTCTTGTTGCTGCTGTTTGTGTGGCTAGGGATGGAACCCAGGGCCTTACTTGTGCTAGACAAGCACCCTACCATTGAACTTCCCCAATTGCCCAACCCACGGTCCCAATGTGTGTGTGTCCTCCAGATTTATAAATTGAAATCCTCACCCTCAAGATGATGATATGAAGATGATCAGGCTACGAGAGAAGCGCCCTCATGAATAGGGTTAGTGTCTTTATTTGGCCCATCACCATTCTTGTTCCAGAATACTTTCATTAATCCAAAAGGAAAACCCATGTCTGCTTGCAGACACCTTCTAGGGCCACCTCCCAGCTCCTAGTAACCACAAATCTGCTTTCTCTATACATATGAATTTGCCTAACTGGATATTTCATATACATAGAATTGTACAATATATAGCCTTCTTTTTCCTTAGCATAACGTTTCTGACATTCACCCCTGCAGTAGCATGTAGTATTAGAATTTCATTCATTTTCATGACTGAATAATACTTTATGGATCAAATACATTTGTTTACCCATTTACTAGTTAATGAACACTTGGGTTGTTTCTGTCTTTGGCTATTGTCCATAGTACGTCTACGCACAATTTGTTTAAACACCAGTTTTTGATTCTTGTGGGTGTGTATGTAGGAGTGGAACTGCTTGGGTGTCAGCATCTTTGCCTCTTGGCAGAATGTTTCCGGGTCAAGTAGGCAAGGAGAACCATGAGGTGCCTTCTCTCCTCTTCTCTCTCCAATACTTCTAAAGTGGAGGTCAAGGGAAGGGAGAGCAATGCAAGATAAGGAGCCATTTGAAAAAAGAGTAAACGAGCTTTCCCTGTCCAAGTAGGACAGGGCTTCAGGAAGGGCAGAGAAGTTTTCTAGAAGGACAGGTGAGCGTCTGCCTACCTCACTGGGGCTCTGGCTTCATTACGGGGTGAGGCTCCCCGGCCCTGCCCAGATGCTGTACATGGGAGTCTTCCATGACTTTTTCAGAGGACTTGGCAATTTACCACCCCTCCTGGGTGAGAATTGAGTTGTGCCATTAAAGTTGTTTCACAGAAAGGTCAAAAAGAAAGCCATCTGCAAATTAAAGTAAGAGGCAGAGATAAAATTGAACGGAAAGGTGTGCAAGGTGAATTAGGTCTATTACAGCTTGATACACACATCTCACAGGGAGAAGGGATTCCTATTTCCAATGAAGGCCATCAGGCAAAGGCAGCAGCAGTCGGTCAGTGAGGCATCTGCTCCGGAGGGGCTAAAACCCTGCTCATGGTTTTCCCGAGACCTTTGGTTCCTTGCTACCAGCCATGGCCGTTCACAAGGAGTGGTTAAATAGAGGCAATCGTCCACTTCATGACTGTGTCACCCGGGCTGAGCTGAATGATGCAGCTCATCCACTCCGTATTTCCTCTTCAGGTTGTCTCACCCAGTCTGAGAACTACCACATCTACATCCCCAGGGTGGACTTCTCACCGGGAACTCTGGATTCATACAGATATTGTCCGCCTAATGGTAGCGCATCTCATTCTATCAGATACAAGTGATAGAGAGGCACGGGTGACTCTGATAGCTCCTCTTCCCTCGAGATCCTGTGAGTTACAAGGACCTGGGCCCTTGGTGTCTGTTCCTTTGTATCAAGGGCAAGGGCAGGCCTCAGTTAGAGTCTCTGGCCACAGCAAGGTCTACCCTAGTCCACTAATCAGACTTCAGCCCATTGGAAATCCAGGATGAACAGAAGCAGAGACCTCCCCTGTCTCTCAGTCTCTTACATAAGAAACACCTCTGTAAATACCATTTGGACCCCTTGCTAGCTATTCCCCTTGTTTGCTATTTGAATGCCTCCCTCTGGGCCTGCTCCTTTCCTTGCAAGGAACTTTCCACATTTTTTTTCAAGCCTCAGGCATTGGCCTGGCGTCACTGACTAAATAGCCATCTTCAGTTTGCTTTTTGACCATTTCCCCAATGACTAGAGAAAGGCACACTGGGATGGCCTCCTTTGAGGCCAGGATGCCATACTGTGCCATCCTGAGAGCCAGGGAAGAGAGACAATCAACTGTCTGTTTTAAGAGAAGGTGCTCCTGTCCCCAACAGGGCAGAACAACATAAACAGATCACAGCACAACTGCTCTGTTAAAGCTGGGGCAGGGGCCAGAGCCCACCCAGAGCCTCCTCACCTTCTTTCTCCAGTGAGTAAGGTTGATAAACACTTGTACTGAGCCTGGCAAGACAAGACACCCAGACGCTTCACTTATCTTTATCCTTGCTTTCTGGTGCTGGTGTCTAAAACTTGAGCAACCTCAGAGCAGAATGACCTGTGGGTGCTTAAACTAAGAAACAAACAGTCTGCGGCCATCCAGGAGACCAGTGCAGAGGAAGGAGCTAGAGGCTCAGCTTCTGTTTGGCCCTCTCCTCTGGGAACTGCTGCGGTTTAAGGCAATAACCCCAGACACCCAGGAGGAGCACTGAGAAATCCCAGTTAGAACTTCCTAGAGCAGCCTGAGATCCTAGTAGGAGAAATCCTGAAACACCTAGTCCTCTGTTTATTCAGCAAGTATTTCTGTGGCTATAACGTGCTCAGCATTTGGGATGCAGGGGGAAAAAATGTATTTCTCTTTGGGAAGCCTACAGTCCAACATGGAGGTAAAGGAAACAAAAAGGTAAGTATAATGGGTACGTTTAAGTGTCATGGTAGACACAGAGAAGACAGTGGAGGAACCCAAGATTGGCATCTAATGTAGTCTTGTGTGATTCTTGTTCCCAGGAAGGTGTGTGCTCCAAGCATGAAATTTTATATAAAAGAAATCTTATGTAGGAAAATGGAACTTGTATGGATGTGCGTTTTTTACTCTGACCCATTTCGGTGGGTTTAATCACTCAATGTGCTTGGAGGTTTTGATATGTTAAACTGTACAATCTCTTGTACAAAATCCTGGTGGGAGCATAGGGCACCCTGTGTGAAGTTGGCAGACTCAAAGGAATGGCTGGGTAAGTTCACTTTGGTCTTACTGTATTCAAGTGGAAGAAAGTCTTGTTCGTTGGGAAATTAACTTCCTCCCTCTTTTCTTTTTTTTTTTTTTTTTTTTTT